TAGTTTATGCACATTTCTGCTGTCACAGAGTAATTCCAGCACCAATTTAAGTAGGTATGACGGTTTGCCACTTAACTTTGCCCATCAGAGTATGCTTTTAGCTCATATGCATACAGCCAGGATGGTTTGCCACTTCATTTTACCCTTAAAGTATGGTTGTAGGTAACATTCACAAAGGTAGCATGGTTTGGCACTTAATTTTACCCGTCAGAGTATGTGTCTAGCTGTCATTAACAAAGGTAGGATGATTTGCCACTGAATTTTAGCTATTAAAGTACGCTTCTAGCTCAGATTAACAAAAGTAGGACAATTTGCCACAAAATTTTAGCAGTTTAAATATGCTTGTAGGTGACATTCACAAAGGTAGGTTGGTTTGGCAGTTAATTTTACCAGTCAGAGTATTTTTCTAGCTAATATTCACAAAGGTAGGATAATTTGCCACTGAATTTCATGTTGTGTGCATGCGCAGAAACAACAGGTAGGATGGATTCCCAGAACACCTGATTGGTAGCGAGGCTAAAAATACACACAGCTGCTCTATCACGTGAGCACACTGCTCCGACGTGCTACGGTTATGAGCCGAGTTACGCCGTGTTGCAAGTTTTGTGAGGTGCTTTTTTGATATTTAATGGATCGATTACATTTTTTATTTCTCCCCGATATCCGATCCAGTAATTTACGTCAGTATCGGACCGATACCGATACGTAATATCGGATCGGTCCATCTCTAGTATTGAGTCAAAGAAGGTACTTAGGAGGTACTTTATCATTCTATAAACAGCAAATTATAATGAAATCCACAAATGTGTAGATCAAAAAACACTATTTTGTTGTACGTGTACAGTGACAGTAAAGGGCTATCCTATTCTATTCTATTCTATTCTATTCTATTTCATTCTATTAATGATAAAGCAAGTGGAGGCCAATTTGTATTAATTGACATTGCAAACACAGTCCTCAGCACTCAACGAGTGTCAAGTATCAAACACTGAATCTCAATATCCAGCCCTGATTATAAATGGAAAAATCAATTAAGTGATTAGAGACTTCATGTAAAATTACACAGCAGCTTGTATTTGGATGATGAATTAATCATTTGACTGAAATATTGTTGGTTGTAGATTCTCCACTAATTTGCAGATGCCTCCAATGGAAAACTCTCCCAACTGCAAATGTGATGGGTTTTTTTTTTTTATAATTTATTCCCAAAACAAAAAAAAAACCTTATGCATGCTTTATCAGTAGAATTTATTCTCTGCCTACATTGTTTCAAAATAAAGCTAAACTGCTAAAGAAAGAAATAATAAAAATGCTCATTGAACTGTTGCTAAAGGAGTTTTCTAGCGTGTTGTGTTGCGCCTGCATCATGTGCCGCTCTTGGACTTGCGTGCCAGCCTCCCCCCCCGTGGCCCTGCGTCCAGGTTCCCATGGACATTACACTGTGACGTGTTACAAAAACAACAGCAGCATTGTTTTGGGTACTTAAGAGTTTTTAGAACACGAACCCTCCGTGGATTAAAAGAATTTTTAATCTAAACAGTCAAAGCTGACCATGTGTTTTATCGTTTAGGTTTACGGGGGAAAGACACTAGCTGCAGCACATCCAACACCCTGAACACATCTGTGCGTTATCTCACTAATGAATAATTCCCTGGGCTGTCCAGAACACTCAGATACTTTTTTGGAGCTTTGAAGCTTTTGTTGGAACGCGGGTATCAAAGGTGACAAACCTCTGTGCACACGAGTTAAAAATAGGGGCTGTGCTTTGACTCCAGCGTCTGTTTTCCCCTCAGAGTGAACGGTTCTGTCACACATTTGTCAAAATTGAAAACGAAACCACTCAACAGTACATCAGGAGGTGCGATTAAAAGTATTCCTGCTTACATTTTTTCACAGCAGGTTTCAGTCTGACTTTTTTCCCATCTTGAAGAAATACTAGCTGTTACACTACTTTTTTCACACACAGTGCTGTGAAAAAGCAACGTTCACCCTTCCTGTCTTCTTAGTTTTTTGCATATGTGTTACTGTTAAATATTTCAGCTCAAACTAATTTTTGGATTACATATAGACAGTCCACAGCACGCCTGATGACGGTTTCATGCCTTCCAGCATCTTTATTTAACACTTTTCTCACGGTTGCTGTTACACACAACTCGGCTGCAGCTTCCCGGCTGCCAGGCTCACATATCACCACCAACAACAGTAACCAGGACCCAGTGCAGACAAAAAGATTTCAAAAAGCAGCACATGGTGCCACAATCTAAAGAAACAGCTGAGAAACAAAGTTAGGAAAGTCATTTCTGAACTTTGGGGGCACCAGTGAGTCGCAGTGAGAGCCAATATCAACAAATAGTGAAAACTTAAAATGATGGTGAACCTTCTCACGAGTGCTCGGTCTACCAAGAACGCATCCACGACTTATCCAGGAGGTCACAAAAGAACCCAGAACAACAGCTAAGTTGTCTTTGACCTCAGTTAAGGTCAAAGTTAGATAAGACCCTGACTGGGCACAAAAGGCATCATGGGAGAAAATCAGTGGTGACCAAAAAGGCTCGTCTCACATTTCCTAAAAGCCATTTTGATGATTCCCCAGACTTTTGGAGAACATTCTGTCCACTGATGAGATATAAGCGGCTCTTTCTGTAAATTAGCATCTTGTTCCATCTGGCTTAAAACTGACACGGCATTTAACCCACAGACTATGGGTTATTCATGCATGTAAATGAAAGTCTTCTAACACACAGGAGTGCTCTGCAGCGTGACAGTTGCTCTGTAACTGATATTTACTGCAGATTGGTTCCCCTCCCAGAAGCTAAAGTGATATCATCTTAGAAACAATGTTGCAATGGGATCACACCACCAGCAACACTAATCTTTGAACTTTGCCTGCATTCGTCTTGTAAGCTTGTGACTGCAAAATGTGCCCACAGACAGCCAAACACACCAATACCTGCCAAAGTCCTGAACCTGCCCCCGGTGTCACTATGGGGGTCTCCAGCACCACCATTTTTCTTTTGTAAGACACACAGAGAGACTAATAAGGTGAAGATAATACCTGTTATGCTGTGGATGGTGTTGTTTTCAACTCACACTGTAGATTATTTGTTTTGTCCCAGCAACACTGGCCTTGAGCTATTTTGCAGGCCTGTATAACATATTGATTTCTCCCACTTTCTCCTTCAGTTTGCTGTTGTAAGCAGCTGGTTGATGAGGGAGTCAGGAGGTCTCAGAATTCTGGGATGTTGTTTCTATGACGAGGAAATCCTGCTCGGGTGCTCTTTTGACTTAAAGTGGCAGTGACTGTTGAGCACCAGTGCACCTGCTGCAGATGGCTACCTAAAGCTGTGTCCTTCACCAGGCACATGGTTTCTAAGCTTTGGAGCATTTCCAATGTATTGTCTGCAGTGACGTTGCTCAATGAATAAGTGATAAGACAGCAAGCAGGATTCTTTGTGTTAGCATTGCTGAGGTTGGCTGTTAGGTCCCTTTATTGATCCCATGTGACAGGACGGCTGCTGAGCTGCTCTGTAGGGCAAAAACATCTGGGCTAGTCTGAATTTTAGTTTTTAGAACATTTTCCAGTTTGACACGCTGGCCTGACCAGTGCCAGTTTTCACAATATTTGCCCTTCTTCCTGAATTTAGTTTTTGCATGATACACAACAACCAACTGATTGGCAAATATTTGCAGAAAATAAAACTCCTGAGCACCAAATGCACATTATGGGTGCACACACACACACACACACACACACACACACACACACACACACACACACACACACACACACACACACACACACACACAGCCTCCTCCCTCTGCCACAAATAGAATTTAGATCTGTGGGAAAAACAGATTTCATAGCTCAGCTCAAAAAGACAAAGGAAAACAAGAGCGAATGTTTCTTGGTTTCCCATGAAACACACGCTGCATACATTTTTAACATGCAAACGAAGATCCTGTAGCAAATTAATTAATATTTGCTGGCAAAATATACCAGATCATTTATAATATCCACAGTACTCTGCTGCACATGCACTGCCTTGATTTAATCGTCACAGTCAGCAGAGACACATAAGTGCAGCGTTATTTAACGACTAAACTGCTGCTCCTCCTGGCACCTTTAAATATCAAGCGTCTCTTCATGCATTTAATATGAAATCAACGCTAAGACTGGGGCAGGAGGGTGGAGACGTCTATATAGTATCAGTAGTATCAGTACATGTTGTGTGCAACTGCAGTAACATCAAGTGGTTCATTTATGTAGCTGTGTTTTTGCTGAAAAAAGAAATAAAAATGCAGTTTGACCACCTTTTTTTCACGAGCTGGGCCCACGTCCTCATTTTAGGTTTGACAGCGTTTTAGTAGGTAAAAGTGATGCTTTGACATGAATTGACCTGCGGTTTGGGGAAGGCCTCGAAGGGGACTGGTGACGGCTCCCGGGACTGGCAGATGCCCGTGTACCAAATAGGAGTGAAGAACTTAAAGAATTGAGAACAAGGAGGGAGGGAGGGTGGGGCACGTAAACGAGAATGAACAGTTTGCAGAACTGAGGGAACCTATATAGATGACAGCTGGAAGGAGCGTGTTTGGAGGCGTGGTCCCGATATATAATCTCCAATAAAATTACAAGAAAAATGATATTTGATCTATTTTTACTTAAGTGTTGGGCTCAAGATGCTTGTAGGGCGCTCTCTGGAGGCCGGTGTATGCTCTTATAGACAGAATCTGGTCGCTGCCTCATTTGGCAGGCCAGAGAAGCTCTGTGATGGCAACTGACCCTGAGGGACAACTCAGAGATGAATATATTACACACCATATGCACACAGTTACAACGGGACCCACATCCAAAAAATCAGCTGCAGTGCAGTCCTTGCTGGCAACATCTGGCCAACGAGACCTTGAAGAGTCATTTTAATGAAAAAGCCCCGGCCAGTGCCGTGAAAGCATAACAGTGAAAGTGGGCCAAGCTCCCTAAAATTGACTTGTTTTCAACTTACCTCATCAAAGCTGCTGTCCTCTTTCTTGAAAGCTGCAAAAAGAAGAAAGCGACACAAGATCAGAAGAAGGGTCTATTGGCACATTTTGAAGAATGAGCAAAATAAAAAGTATAACAGCAGAGATGCAGAAAAGAGTCCTGAGCAGCGACTGTGGCGTAAACTTGGCCTGGCAACGTCTCCAGTTTGTCATCAGAATGTCCAAAGTTTTATTTCCTGTTGTTTAGGTTAATCAGGCATGGGTTAGATTGTTGTTCAACTAAGCCCAACCAATACAGGATTTTAAGATCAATACAAATATTTGGTGTTTTAAAACTCTGATATATCTTTTTTCTTTAAGACACATGAAACGTGAACAAACGTCACCACATCTGTTACACTTAGTTATGTATTTACTTGTTGGCACTGTGCCTGACTCCATTAGGATCAGGTGTTTGTTGTGTTCCTGGTGCAGGGTTGGAGGGCGTTTCTTCTGCTGCTTCCTCACATTTTAAACTGAAATCTTCGTTTTTACATTTTTTTTAAGTGCTCATAACTGAGATCGATCCCCCAATAAATTGGTCGGGTACTGCAAAGCTACGACATACAGCATTGCTCTAAGAAGAAAGATATAAAAATTCCAGCTGCACACAATAAAATTGTTTTTCTAGTTACAGTTAAGTGGGACGTTTCAACACGGTACCTGCAGTATTAGTCACCACTGTTTGAAGAAACACTACAGAGTGGCACAGAAACTAGTGCCGACTAGACAATTAAATAAACATACATGCTCATCCAAACCAAAAACAAGTCAATCAAGAAAGTAAGGTAAAATGCACATGGCCTGTAATGGATTCAACAGATAATAATAAGTATCAACACATTCTACACCAGTATGTTTCTACACCAGTATGTTTCTACACCAGTATGTGGACCTGCGGTAACGTTTGCACGTCCTCTCCGGTTAATGCGGCAGGTAAATAATCAGGTAACAGTGCATATTGATCTGCCTTATTACAAACCTGCCATCACTGTGCATTTAGTGACCATGATGAGAGAGACAGAGTCTGACTCAGATGCTGGCAGTTCTCGCTGCAGTCTGCCGGTAGCGTCTCCTTTCAGGCCAGGATAGACGAATGTCACCGAGCAGTGACTCAGTTTGTGGTCAAAGGCTTGCACCCATTTGCCACAGCAGATGCCCCCAATTGTAAGTGAATGTGTTTAATTGTAGGCAGGGACATTACTGGATATTCTTGTGTAATTGCTACA